TGATGTCATGGCGGATAACAAAGGAGCATCATCTAAAATTATCTGTGACTGTGACCATGAACACAAATATACAGCAGGCAGTTGTCCTCAGTTTATAAGAAATTCAGAGCTACACCAGAACATTTATGAACAGGTCTTACTTTACTACTAATTTGTGTGTAACGTTAGCATGTTAGCATGTTTCCACTAATAACTTGGACTGACCTAACGTTAGTAGCATTAGCTTTGCAAGCGAAGGCTGCAGGTAACAGCTTTGCTGTGTTAGGATTATGTTATGTCTTCACTGTGTATCTTCACATAAAAGAATACTCTGACGATTTGGGAGTTATGCCCTTTCTCTATCATTTTCATATTGAGACAACATGATCGATATCTTTTTTGTGTCTGTACGTCCAGTGGCTGGGTCTCAGCGTTTAGCATTGAGCTTATAGGGGGCCAGTACGTCCTGTGCTGTGATCCGCGGAGGGATACACCGGTGAGCAGGCACAGACGTAGCTTGCAAACAAAACTCAGCTGTTTATTTAGCCTAGCGATATCTCCGGATTTTAGTAGCTGCAATGGACGACTTTGAACGCGATTTTGAAGAGTTTCTTGTAGCGGACACAGATCCAGAGCCATACCTGTTTGAGCCGGAGTACACAGATGTGGAACTCCACGTGTTGGATGCTGAGCGGGCGAGAAGAGAGGCTGAATCCTCCGCTCCCATTTTGCTGCACAGAATGGGATTCGGTGCTACCATCATTGGGGAGATATATCATCAGGAGGAAAACCGCCGCAGAGAATGCATCACAAGGAATGAAAACTTTGCAGCAATCACTAATCCTGGCGTGATTGAAACTTTTTTCATGTTCCTAAGATGAACTGGAAAAAACGCCCCAGGCCTGCAGGAGCTGATGGACAGCTTTCAGTCGGGTGAGTAATATTGTCCGTGTCGTCTCTTTGTTTGCTTTTACCGAGTGACCTAGCGTACCTGTCCCAGAGCCAGCTGCAGCTGTTGCTCACCGGTGTATCCCTCCGCGCAAGATGTACTGACATGAACATGAAAATGATAGAGAAAGGGCATAACTCCCAAATCGTCTGAGTATTCTTTTCACATAATAATGCGGACTCAGCAGATGACTTGTTAACTGTTTATTCCTCCTTACACCGAACGTACATGGCTGCTTCTCATTGTTTCCAGTAGCACAACAACGGTTACTACATTACCCAGAATAACTTGAGGCTCACACTACTACAGTAGCCTTAGTAGCTCAAAATGCACAACAGATTAGATTAGATCAGAACAGAAACACGACAGGAGAATTTACTGAGTAATTTTGCTGTTTCCACTAATTACTTGGACTGACCTGATGTTAGTTAATCCTCTCGCTCTCCAAAACAAATGCATGCGGTAATTGCCGGCTGCAGTCGGAATTTTACGACACCAGGCTGTGGGTGTCAAACCGCTTCAACCAAAGGGGTGCTATAATCAACGAAAACGAAAAGTTCCGCACAGCTGCTTTAAGTTTCCTCCGAAATCAAGTAATGTCTAAACCAAGAGACCCGCCTTGCCTCAAACACGCCCACTGAGCCTGGTCGGATAAAACTAGTGAGCTTGGCGCATCTCCGGACTTTTTACTTTACTTTTACACTTCCTTCTTTTTACTACTTTCCTTTACTTTCCTTTTACTTTTCTCTTCTTTCTTTTGCCATCCTTCCTTCTAGTTATACTCTTTATGCTTTAACCTGTTATGCTCTTATACTCGGTTGCTGCGTAACCCTTTCTTTTCTTACGATCGAAATTCTTTTAAACTTTTAAGTTTTGCTCGCCACGTCCAGGATTGTCGTCTGTCCTGAGTTTTCTTTTTTTTTTGTCTGTGCCTTCAGTAACATTTTGATAATAATATTGAACGGCCGACGAGATTGTTTTCAACCTTATTATAAGTGAGTAGCCAGCTAAACAGCTAAATAGATAAGCTACTATTCGACCTGCAACTCCATCAAAGATTCAATGGATCCAGAGTTACCACTCACCTGCCAAAGTGTCCGCAAAGCAGGGGCTCTGCTGCCAAACCAAGAGACTTTCCGCAGCCTAAAATAACCGACATGTGAGGACCACCTAAAGAACACCGCCATCAGGCTCCACCGCCCCTCACCACTTTGTCCCACTTTGCATCGTCCTGCTGGGAGGCCATGCAGTGAAGCCGGAAGTTGCCAGTGGCACTTCGGGGTCCCCCTGAGAAACATCAGCCTGACTCAACACTGCTAAAAGTAGGCAAAACTTCCCTCACCTGATGCAGCCGCCGTGTTGCGATAAGAGTTGCTGTCGAATACGCTTATTATAAGGTTACCATGGGCTGACGGGCTGATGTACTGTGGTAAGCGTGTTGTGCCATTTACGATATTTCTGTGATAGCATTTCTGTGCTGCTCTAGCGAACTCTTACCACGTGTACGCACACACACATACACACACAGACACATACAGTTACCTTGCTGAGGTGAGTGAGCTTGAGGGCCTAAAGGCAAGACCCAGCCATTATTTCCATGATGATTCAGAGTCAACAAAATTAATGTCTAATGTGGAAATACATATCTAGTCCGTTCCTCCGTGTTGCCTTGTTCAGACCATCAGATTGTAAAGATGTTACAGTAATAATTGTTAAAATAGTTTTTTTAATAGTTCTGATCAGTATGCAGTTCACGAGTCCCTCAGTCTGTAACGTAAGGTCTCAGTTCATCTTTTCCCAGAGCTTGAAGTCCGTATAACTAAAAATCAATAACACAAAATATAAAAGTCCATAACAGGAAGGAGACATCCTCATCACAAATATGTGTCCCAATATGATATGTCCAAGTTAATCGAAATAAATCAATCAATAAATAGAAATAAAAAATATATAGCCTATATATAAAGAAAAAAAAAGTAGAGTGGAAATGCAAAGAAAAACAAAAAACAATAAATTACAGGTGTTTCAGCATTTGTCCGTGGTCAAAGAAGAGGGAAAAGAGAAAAAGAGTTGAAAGAGAAAAAGGAAATACTCTATGGACCTCACGTGAGCTGTACCTGTTGCAGAATAATTATTTAGCCATATTACTGTTGATGAACTTCTCGGCTTCTTCTGGAGTGTTGAATTGATGTTTCTGCGTCTTTCACTGTAACTGCCAACACGGCCGGAAAGCGTAGTGTGAACGTGATGCCTTCTTTGTAAAGCTTGGATTTCACCTCATTGAAGGCTGCGCGCTGATTAGCCAGGTTGCGGCTCATGTCCGGAAAAAGAGAGATCTTGCGACCTTGATAAAATAGTTGCCCACGTTTCTTCGCCAAGGCCAGCACCTGGTCCCTCTGTTTACAGCGTGTGAAACAAATGACAATGGGTCGAGATCGTTGTCCGTCGGCTGGTTTGGCTCTCCCCACACGATAAGCGGCATCCAGCTCTGGTGGACATATGGATGATTCATCTTGTAATACATCAACAAGGAGTGCTGATATGAAATCTGTGGTTGAGTGACCTTCACAATCCTCAGGCAAATTAATTAATCTCAAACAATAATGTAGCATGACATTTTCAAAGCCAGTTTTTTGTTTGAGATAAGTGTCATCTGCTTGGAGTTGCTTCACCTGGGTTTCGAGGTTAATCAGCCTGTCGCTGTGGTCGGAAAGAGCCGTTTCCATTGCAATAAAAACGCGGTCCAAAATCTTCAACCTTGGCCTTGACTGCATACAAAGTTAGTGAAGCCTGTATATCAGCAGAGATCGCAGTTTTATTTTTCTCCAGCTCGGCAACCAGCTCGGTGATGGTCAGCGCAGCACCTGGTGCAGGTGTGTTGGATCTCATTTGCACGCCACCTGCAGCGTTGTTTGCAGTTTGTCATTTCTCTGGCTTTTCTGAAGACATTTTAAGTTCTAAACACAGCCTCTAAACACAATGTATATTCAAAACTTTCTCTAACCAATATTCCCCTTAACTTTCTCCTTAAAGTAGTAGTTTAGCAGTCTGGGAAATGTACTTATCCATTTTCTTCATGTCTGTATTTCTCATGTCTATTTGTTTAGTACGGAGCTGGAGTCAAGACGTGGTTAGCCTAGCTTAGCTTAAAGCTTAAAGACTGTAGGCAGGAGGTTCACACTGTTTGCAACCTAACATATAAATTGTGTTGAAAATTCTTCTCTTCATCAAAGAATTACATTTTGGCAGAAGAACTCACCTACAAGCTAACCTAGCAGGTAACACACATCCAGCAAACACAAAGCAACATGATCATTCCTTTGGAGTGTTTGTGTCTACCTGATCAATTTCAGATCAACATTCCTCCTCTTTTAGCTCCGTTTTTGGTCTCCACAAATTCCTGGGAAAATTAGAATAAGCGCCCTGCAGTTGTATGCCTCCATACACCAGTCAAGTTTCTCTCACAGTTTACATCCAATCCATGTCTGTGAAAACATGGATACTTCACAAACAACCGTACCCCGAGCTGTGTCCCTAAAAATCTCATCAGTTCATTGTTGAGTCCAAGTGAGTGGTTGTGCCAAATTTGAAGAAATTCTCTCAAGGCATTATTGAGATATCATGTTCACAAGAATGAGACAGACGGGGTCACAGTGACCTTGACCTAGGACCATGAAAAACAAATCAGTTCATTGTTGAGTCCAAGTGTACATTTGTGCCAAATTTAAAGAAATTCCCTTGAGGCGTTCTTGAGATATTGTGTTCACAAGAATGGAATGAGCGTATGGATGGACGGATGGATGTACGGAAGGCCAGCCGAAAAACATAATACCTTAGGCCATGGCTATCCTTGGCACAGAGGCATAAAAATATCTGCCTCTGTAGCTGCTAAATGCTCCATTACGTTCACCAGCTTGCCTCTAACCAATGACACTGGTCATTTGTGACATATTTTGCCATATTGAATACGATTCTGACTCATTTTGATATTTGTGATATTTCATAGTCATTGGGAAAAGAAGACAGCAGCCAAACATTGGTCATTATGACATTAGGAGAACATTGTTCTTACACTTTGAGGATGTTGGCAACCAGACGCCCAAAAGCCGCCCCACAGAGCAGCGAGGGGACGAAGAGGCCGCTCGGTACAGACACACCGTAGGTCCAGCAGGCCAACAGGAAGTACAGCAGGAAGAACACTGACAGAGTCACAGGGCTGAAGGTACCTGACAGGAAGAACAAGATGCAGCTGTTCAATATGACCAGTCAGCAAATGTCTTCTACTGCCTACACTCTTAGCACTAGAACAGATGGCAGCATGAGACAATGGAAACATGAGTAATGCTGCATAATAAATTCATATTTTTTTTATTATATTCATCAAATTTGTATATTTAACAGGCTTTGCAATTTCACTAAATCTGCACTTTTACAACCTTTTTATTTTACTGTACCTTACTGTTACTGGCAGAAATGGACTTGGCTGTGCCACTAAATGGAGATCTATGTAAAAAGTATGTGAATACAAAGCATGAAGGTGCGATGTACAGATTGCAAGATATGAACTAAAAGCTATTTGATTTTATTCAAGTGTCTTCCTATAGTCATGAAAATACTAATAATCCCAGCAAAACACCATGCTTGGACCCCCAATAAAACTATAAACAAAAAATGCACACAATGAAATATAAACTATGCACCTTAAGTGCAAGAAAATTCAAGGGTGTACTTTTACAAAGGACACGATTTATCTAACAAAGAGCTGTTATGAATGCGTGTTTGTGTGCATCTGTGTGAGTGTGTGTGTGTATGTGTAGGTATGTGCTCATCTCACCATCCTGGTGGAAGAGCTGGTGGATGGCAGCCTCCTGTGGGTTGAAGAACAATGTGGCCATGTCATTGTAGGTCTTGTTGGTGCAGAAGAACTGGCGAATGGTTGAGTTGATATCCTCGCTGCCAGACAGCTGAAAACAAACTCACAAATTAATCCGAGATAACAAACACATGATGCTAAGTGTAGAGAGTCTGGTGAGATGACTGTGATGTGCTTACACCCAGCAAGGACTCAATGAGTCCTTGCCCGTTCCTCTATTGAGCAGCATTTTGGCTGCAATCATGCTTTAGCAAAATGCTTTGGGGAAGTTTTGTCTTTATCTGTTCATGTTGAAATTAAAAAAAAAAAAAAAATGATAAAAGTTTTTTTTTTTCAATGTGTAATTAAATCTATAGCTCTCACCCATCCTTGTGATGGTTGAAGTCATAACTTTTTAATGGCTTTGTCTTTTAAGATTATTATTTTTTATTTAACTTCTCTCCCACCATGACTGTTATAATTCAAACAATATAATTAGTTAATTAACCCTTTACAGGCCGGTTTCTGTGATGTACCACTCATTTTTATACAAAGAACAGCCTAAAAATGAAATATTCTCTAGTTTTTTAATTTTTTTTTTAATGATTACAACTGTCTGAGCTCAGGCAATGTTTATGGGGAATATCAGTTTTTATGCATTTTTACTTTTTTTGTAGTGTTAGATTGAAAAAAAAAAAGCTCTCAACCAGTAAGGACTCATTGCGTCCTCATGATGACTGAAGGTATAACTTTTTAATGGTTTTATATTTTAAGATATGTTTTTTTGGGGGCATTTTTGCCTTTAATGGATAGGACAGCCAAGTGTGAAAGGGGGACAGAGAGAGGGGGGATGACATGCAGCAAAGGGCAACAGGCTGGACTCGAACCCGGGCCGCTGCGGCAACAGCCTTGTACATGGGGAGCCTGCTCTATCCACTAATCCACCGACGCCCCATGGTTTTATATTTTAAGATTTTTCTCTTTTGGTTACGTTATTTAACTTCTATCCCACCATAACTGTTAAATTCAAAAAATAAAATTAGTTAATTAACCCTTTACAGGCCGGTTTCTGTGATGTACCACTCATTTTTATACAAAAAAAAACACTCCAAAAGTGAAATAATTTCAGTTTACAAGAGGTTGGAGGGATATTTTTTTAATACTTATATGTGCCTGATGATAGTCCGTCAATTTTCATGCAGAATATTAGTTCATATGCAGTTTTACTTTTTGTACAGTGTAAGATTAAAGTAAAAGACTCATTGAGTCTCCAATTCCATGTAATTTTTTTGAGAACAATGGGTGAACCCTTGGCTGAAACAGTTACTGAAAAAGTTACTCTTAAACGCTCTCACTGCAGGGCTGGCAGTAGAATACCCTGACGCGATGCTCCTTACATGCGGTACGTTTGCATTTGAAGCAGACAGTGTCCACTTTTCCTCTCTTTGTGCCCGTGCACAGAACACACAAGCGCCGACTGGGACGCCTCCTCTTCGGCTCGCTGGGTTAAATAACATAACAAAAAATAATAATCTTAAAAGAACCAATGTGCAAATCGGTCGTCCGACCTGGGTATAGGGGCGAAAGACTAATCGAACCATCTAGTAGCTGGTTCCCGCCGAAGTTTCCCTCTGACACATCGGACTTATGAAGTCGAACAAAAGAAAAAAAAAAAACAGTAAAAAATAATAAAAAAAAGTTATGACTTCAACCATCACAAGGACTCAATGAGTCCTTACTGGGTGAATGGATGGAATTTAAAACCGTCTGTAAGGGTTATGAGGGTTTCTGCAAGATTTACCTAGTTCAATTTAAACTTAACCAAAACCAATTCTATACCACATGGCATGTAATTTCACCATCACACAGACTTAAACATGAATACTACGCCTTGTCTTAGAAAACCATTACGGCCATTATCACTGTTGGTTTTAACGTCTCCTCCACTGGGGAAACCGAAGGCCAAAGCCTCAGCTGGGTCCACTGGCCACCCACCTTTTCTGGTCTACACCTAACTTCGCTGCATGTCCTCTGCTCAACTTGGAACAAGTTGCCGCCCCCTCTCAGTACCAATGTGTTTCCACTGGAACAGAGAGACAAAGTCCCATAGCTATTGCACCCTCGACTGCCTCCCCTCACTAGTGCCTCATTGTTGGCTTGTCCATGGTTCGGCATGTGTCTGTCCCTGGGCTGAAACCCTCTGCTGCCCAGGTATCCCACACAAACTCAGTGCTCCCAAACATACTTCCTAGCCACACCACCACATCTAGAATTGTTGTTCATTTTGGCTCTCACAATCTCAATCAGTCAGTCATCAATCAACAATCTCTGCATTATCTACTTAAGAAAGTCTTACCTTTAGTTAACAGTTATTTATTAGACATGATCAATATATATTTATTAACAGGCTGTGTACCACAGTCCTTTAAGGTAGCTGTAATTACGCCCCCCC